TATTAAATTTATTTTAAAAATACACGGTCACGGGAGAAAGCAAACTGTACAGTAGTAAAGCAGCAACAGTTTTTATTTATTACAAATTCTAAAAAAGAATCCAACTTTATACGTAAAAAGGAACACTGATTTTCATCAAAAACATGTAAATTTAAAATTATCTGCTAAACAAGATAACCTTTACATTCGCACAAGTCCGACGTATTTGTTAGTTTCGATGGACATAGAATTTCCGTGGGGTTTTGGGCCCTCCACCAATTTCTGTTAAGGATAAAGGTAAGATAAAGTAATAAAAGAATCGGGCACCCCTAGTGGCTACTGCAAGGTGAAGCGCACATCAGCCAGGCCTGGTCCAGGGAAACCTGCCCCGCTGACAGTACAGGGCCCTTGACCAGCTGGGTGTCCGTCATGCACTCTGTAGCCCAAGGCCATCAGGGCGTGTACGGGGATTGCAGCAGACCAGGTACTCCAGGTACCAGTTTCAGGACGCAGCCACTCCTTACAGGAGTCGGAGAGGTTGCTTGCTCCTTTTCATGCGCCTTGATGTACTCTTGGGATTCAGAAAAGAAATTAAGGACCTTAAGCTACTTTACTTGCATCTGAAGTCCTTCATTTCCTATCCTCCCCCTTCGTCTCAAGACCCCACCCAACAGGCGTAGCTACAGGCGCTCACACTTTGCAGACTGCCTGGCCCTGGAACCAGCCTGGGGTCCTGGCACTGACTCCCACGGGGCTGGCAGTGCTCAGGGAGGCTCTTTAAGGCCCACAGACTTTGACAGTGGCTTCAGTCACGGTGAATAAAAGCTAAATACAGTCCTCCCAGAAAACAGGGTTGCCAATTGGATTAAGCCAAAACAAAATGCATCTGTAAACTTAATCAGACGAAACTGTGTACATACAAACAATAACGAACGTCACAAAAACTAACAACTAAAGCAGCAGCCACAGCAGACTGGGTATCTGACTCCAGAAACCGGAAACCCATTTTAAAATGCTTAAATAGGATTATACAAGGAAAAAAAAAAAATCTCAGCTAAACATCAAGCAACCTTATATTCACACCTCTATGACTTAAAACTCTGATCTTTGCTGCATTAGTTACTGCATGACCTTTGGGACTTTTTCCTCGGTGTTTTAGGATATGTTACAGAACTTTACAAAGTAAAAAGTGTATGGAGAAGTCTCTGTTTTGGCACTAGCATAAAGAACAGTTGATTTGCAAAGATTAAAAAAAAATCACACTAATCATTTCAATTTTAATACTCCGTGATGTACAGTGTAAACCCAACCCCTTAAAGTTCTGTAGAGATTGTACTTCTTGGTGTTAACTCAGAGTCACTGAGGATTATCAGGAGCAATCAGGCTTCTACAGAGGAGGGAGAGCTGGAATCTTGGGGCAGCTTTCGGACACGGTTTCAGTCTCTGAAGATCAC